TTATGAGGTTGAATGAAAATCTCCTGTTTGTAAATTTGGGCTGATTAGTGAGGGGAGTTGTGTTTACCGCCCAAAATTTGGGTTGGTATTTACACCTTGTTGATCTGTCAAAAGTATTTTTGACCTCAAGGTTGGCTGTCTTTTTGCGGTTTAGTTCGTTCCTGTTTCATTAAACGCCATTTTCCCGGCGACATTCATAGGGCTTTGATCGGTAACTTCATATTTACTATTTTTTAGAATTTTATTAATATTACTTATAATGCTACCTAAAGTTAAAATCAAAGCTTAATATCCATTAAATAGTTGGAAGTTATTTATGATTTTCTTGGTTCTTACTCACTTATTAACATTAAATAACATTGAATTTACTTTAGACCACATGGTCATTTGCTGTGCTAAATTTTTTACAAGTTCATATATGTTGTTAGTTGCTTAACTGTTTATACAAGATCAGCGTATTATGTCCATTTACTTAGTTTCATTCACATGTTTGTTAATAACATTGACTGCTACATATCTTTTTAAGGTAACAATTAACATCGTTTCCATGATTGTGTGGTTCTCATATTGTAATAAATTTTTTAGATGAACTGATGATGCTTTCAAAACTCGAAAGCGAAACGTCTTCAAAATAGATAAAGTAGCCTATCAACTTTGTCTTTTATTTCTCCACCTAGAGACCGATATAAGAACCCACCACTCGTCTGAGTGATCCTTATATATATATATATATATATATATATATATATATATAATATATATATATATATATATATAGCAAAATAATATGTCAGAAAGCGCTCCTAGAGCAAAACATTGGTATGAACATTATTATATATATATATATATATATATATATATATATATATTGAATAATAGTGGAGAAAGCACACAACCCTGACGCACACCTCGACGAATCTAAATTTCTTCGGTTAACTCATTATTAACTTTGATTTTTGCTGTTTGTCTCCAGTACAACCTGGATATGAAGTTAATGTCGCGACTGTCGATGTTTTTGGTTCTTAGGATTTCATATAGCTTTTGGTGTCTGACTTTATCAAAGTCCTTCTCAAAATCTATGAAACCTACGTAGAGGTCTTGGTTTACATCCAAACATCTTTGCATTAACACACTCAGACCAAACAAAGCTTCCCGTGTTCCCAGTCCACCTCTGAATCCAAACTGTGTGGCGCTTATGTCCTCTTCTAATTTATTAAATATTCTTTTGTGAATTATTTTTAAAAATACTTTTAGTGTGTGGCTCATCAATGCTATAGTTCTGTGGTCTGAACACTCTCTGGCGTTATTCGTCTTAGGGATTGTGACAAAGGTAGAGGAGATCCATTTCTTTGGTATGATGCCTGTTCTATAAATTGTGTTGAAGAGGTTCACCATTATTTCAAGTGCATCGTCGTCTATAAGTTTCAACAATTCTACAGGGAGTATTACCCAAAGAGTGGTTAACATCGATTTTTATTTGTCTCCCTAACAAGAAAAACGCAAGAGAATGCAGCGATTTCCGCACCATTAGGTTAATGTCTCATATGCTAAAGTTACTACTTAAAGTCATCCATAACCGAATATATCACAAACTGGACATAGACGTTAATGATACACAATTTGGTTTCCGCAAAGGCCTAGGAACGCGTGAAGCTCGTTTTTCACTTAATATACTGATACAAAGATGCCTAGACGTCAATCAAGATATATACGCATGTTTTATTGACTATAATAAAGCATTCGATAAAGTACGATATAAACAATTGATGAATGTCCTGAAATCAAAGAATATTAACTACAACGACCTCAGGATCATATCAAATTTATACTATAAACAGCGAGCAAAAGTACGTGTTAACGAACAGCTGTCAGAAGAAATTGAAATTAGATGTGAAGTAAGACAGAGATGCGTATTTTCGCCACTTCTTTTTAATGCCTACTCCGAAGAGATCCTGAAAAAAGCTCTCGAGGGTGAAACAGCTGAAATAAAGGTAAATAGAGTTCCTATTAACAACATTAGATGTGCGGACGACACTGTGATCTAAGCCGAAAACATTGAAGATCTTCAGAGACTAGTGACCAGAATAGCAGAGTATGGAAAAGAGTATGGTCTAATAATGAATGTCAAGAAGACGAAATTTATGAGAATATCGAAAATTCAAAGAAATAACGAGAATCTTCGAATAAACGGAACCAACGTCGAACAAGTAGACAAATATGCATATATGGGAACAATGATTACCTCAACAAATGATTACAATCAGGAAATCAAAATAAGAATAGAAAAGGCTAGAGCAAATTTCAACAAAATGAGAAGAGTGCTATGTACCAGGGATTTAAAACTGGAACTAAGAGTTGGTTGGCGAGGTGCTATGTTTTTTCGACTTTATTTTATGGAATGGAATCTTGGACCTTGAATGCGACATCAATAAAAAAACTGGAATTATTCGAGCTGTGGGTATACAAAAGAATATTAAAAATATCGTGGACAGAACACGTCACATACAAAGAGGTTCTCGTACCAAGCCTCAAGCGAAATCCAAATTGATTGTCGCTAAGATTTCTTTCGCATTCTCTGTATGTACGTTGATGTACAATTTTGAATAACATTTTCAGAAAATGGCTCATTAGGCCAATTAATCTAAACTGTGAGCATCTATTTGCTTTATTTTTCTTGGGTATAGGTATAAATGTCGATCTACTGCAATCTTCTGGGAAGATTCCAGTGGTATATATTTTGTTATATAGTGGTGTTAGGTACGGAAGATTTTCTTCATTGATACGTTTTATCATTTCTACATGTATTTCATTTGGACCTGAGGCTTTTCGTAGCTTTGCCGTATTGATTGTTTTTGTAACTTCCGATGTTAATATATCAAGCATTGTGTCTTGTACTATATTCATTTGTGGTTCTGTTCTCTCGTCATTAAACAGATCTTCGATGTATGTTTCCTGTATATTTTCTACATTTTTTGGGCTTCTCTGGGTTTCTTTATATTTTACTTCATTGTGGTTTTTGTAAGATCTTTTTACGTCCATCAGTTCTAGGATTTCTTTTGGCATCCATGTTTTGTGTTGTCTTGTAGTTGTTATGTTTGTATAGTTGTAATTGTTGTTTTGAAGGTGTTCCAAATAATTTCTACTAATGCTTTTGCTACCGCAGGTGCTTCACTGAATTTTTCTTTGAGTGTATCATTTAGTATTTTCTCTATATCTGCCTGTACTGCTGGATCTTTAAGTTTTTCGAAGCTAGGTTTTATCTTCTCTCTGCTTTTGATTTTCTTCAGTTTAATTGGGATTTTACCGATAACAGGATTGTGGTCGGAATCGATTCTTTCGATGTCATTTCTATATCGCTTTTCAATGAATATATAATCAACATGGTTTCTTATTATGTGGTTTTGATTACCTCCTGGTGCTTTCCATGTATATAATCTTTTTGGTAGTTTAAACCAGGTGTTTACGATCATTAGATTTTCTTCTTGGCAAAATTAGACCAGTATTTCGCCTCTATCATTTCTTTGGCCCAAACCAAAGTTTCCGACCTCGTCTTCGGTCCTCCTTTCACCCACTTTGGCATTAAAACCTTCCATAATAATCTTTACAGCATTTTTTTTGCCTATAAGTATCTGATTCTAAGCCTATTAATAAGTCATTCTTTTCAAGCCTTGGAGTTAGTAATGACATAGCTACTGCTGCCCTATACCATCCTGGCATACGGCAGCAGCATTTAATGACTATTAAATTTTACAAATAAAAAGTTAAATCTTTGCCTTAATTGATGCACTTTTATTTTGTTTATCAACCGCATGCCACTTCCAGTCGGTCAAATTTAACAAATGCAGCAAAAAAGTAGTAGTATCAATGTAGACTGAAATTCTCATTACGTGTTTTTACGAAATATCAAGTTCCTTGGATATTTCTCTAATAACCAGGTGTGGATCATCTTTGAATATAACAGAACCATCTAAAGACTTGTCTACAAACTTTTTTATGAACTTGTACTTGTTATGGGATTTCTGTTAGAATATAATAGTATATTACATAACGAGAGTTGTAAGAAGCTTATTACATGCGAGTAAAAAAGTTGCGCGCGAGCCGCGTAGCGGCGAGCGCAGTAATTTTACAAGCATGTAATAAGCCTACAACTCAAGTTGTGTACTATACTTTTTCTACCATTATTTTCGTTTATAAAAATAAAAATTAAATTACCACTATATTTACACTGACAGATTAATAATTTTTAATCTGTCAAAATAACGTCCGTTAATTCGTTTCCATGGTAACTCGACCAACTGACTTACAAGGCTTATGTGATATTACACATTTTTATAAAACTGAAGCGTAATTTTTTTTATTACGTGCTAGTCATTACGTGTCAGTATCTGTTATGATGCATTTACTTAGCATCCAAATAGTAGGTAATATACAATTTACTAGTAAGAGAGTAGAAAAATTATATTACAGATATTACATGCTTCTTGTTGACTTCTACGAAAATAATGATAAATATCCTACATCAATCAAATTTTAATTCATTCTTTTTCAGAAAACGATCCATTGCGACTTTCAATAAATACCAACAAAAATAATTTATTAAAATGTCAAAGTTGTTATTGTTGTAGTCCATTGTAATGTTATGTAATGTAACTTAAGCAGATATAATATTTGTAACTATGTAAAATATGTAACTTATACTATTTATTAGTTATAATGATGGAATTTACACATAGAGAATATTACAAAAGAAATATTCTATATTTTTTAGAATTTAAGAAAAAATATAAAGTGATCTATTTGAAATAAAAAGTTCAATACATATTTAGAACGTGAAAAACCATATACTTCAATATATATACTCCTATATACCACAAAAAATCTAAATAAGATGTCCCGTGGCGAATTTTGAATATTCTGTAGTGAAGGAAATTTCGGCGTCACATTTTTTATATATTTTAAAAACAAAGCAAAACAAACCGATTGATTTTTTTATGTTGTAGGGTCTGGACGGGAAATATTAGAAAATTTGCCTCTATGGAATGATATTATGGTAATAACGAATATTTCTACATTTTGTGATAAATTAACAGATCTGCAAGCCGAACTACAAAGTTTTCAAAAGCAGACCACGGAATTGAAAACAGAAGGACAAACGTTAATCGATAGTAAGTAACTTAGAAATAAAAATAGTTAAATTGTTTCCTTCTACTTCCATTTCGACCATGAAGGTGTTCTTCCATAACCATGTTCTAAGTATTCTCTCGTTTTTTAATACACGAATTGCTTCAATAACCAGATGCCCGATACGCATTTTTAATTCTAAGGTAAGTTGACCAAATAAGGCCCACTTAATGTTTGTTAGTTGTTTTTTGATAAATAAAATCACGATATAAATCTGAAAACCACAGAGGAAATAAATCACATATTTAAATTTAATATGAGATTGTTAAATTTTGTTAAAAGTTTTATGAGTTGTTACTTTTTAGTCTTTAAAAAATAGTTGCTTCTGGGCCTAATTAGGAACACCATGTTCTTAATAAGGCCCACTTTTTAAATGTGACCATTATGCCTAATTGCACCAACAGATCTTCAGCTCCAGTTTAGCCCAGTTCAGCTTATGTCGCATTGACGTTCCACGTACGTCTTAAGCTTAAGGTCTATTGGTGCAACTATACATTAATCAAATTAAACAAAGGTGACAAGTAGGACATTTATTTTGTAAAAAATAATAGGTACTTAAAATAATTATTGCAAACAGTCTGGACATATGAAAACTAAGTCTTTATCATCTGCTGAAAGTCCTACACACTCTTCAGGGATATATCTTTTGCAGCTGTCACAAAGTCTCATATCCTTAACGACATCCTCATTGCAGACGAAACAATACCAACTATCTTTTCGTTCTTCTTTGTTTTTTGAGGTTTCAAGTGAGCTGTGTTTATTTTTCTCTTCTCCTTTTTTTAGTTGTTTTTTGACTATTTTTCCGTTTGCCAAATTTTTTTCCTTTTCTTGATTGGTTTTTAGGGTCATTTAAACCAGCTTCATCAAACAATGATTTTGTGACTTCCTGTGCTCGATAGTTCAGGGATTTCTTTCTAGCACCTTTGCGTTTTCCAGTTTCCAATTCTGGTGTTATTAACACTGCGATAAAACTTACTGACATTTCGTTTTCCTCTTCTGAGCTGTCATGTACTGAAAATTCATTGTCAGAACCGTCAGAACTCTCAGAGCTATCTTGCGTATTTTTCTCCTTTAGAGCTTCTATTTTCTTTTTTCTGTCTGGAGTGGAGCTGCCAATAGGATTATTCGTTGCGTAAGTCGAAGCTGATGGAATAGCAGAATCTTCCGAGTCTAATTTATTTTCTGTTATTTCTGATGGGCAAAAAGCTATGTCAGGAATGAAACTCGGATCATACGGGTATATTCCCGTAGCACGAAAACCTGAAATAACATTTGATGCTGTAGTTGCTTTTGGCCATACTTTTGAGAAAATTGTGCCAAGCGAAAATTTATTGATCGTTCGATCTGGTTTATTTGTCCAGTAGGTGATAACTTCGTCGTCCCAGTAAGATTCGAAGGCTTTAAATACCGCCTTGTCCATAGGTTGCAGTTCATGTGTGCAATTACTTGGCAGACAAAAAAGCGTAATTTCATGCGACTCGGCTTCATCAACAATATCTGCATCCAGATGGGACGATGCTCCGTCAAAAATAAGCAGTATTCTTCCTATTGGCTTGTACTTAGCAAAATGTTGTACCCACTTAATGAAAACTGGCGTAGTCATACTTCCTTTCTCGGTCATTTCAATAACTGTTCCAGCAGGAAGATTGTCATACCATTCATTCTTCTTTCTTTTTCCTTTGAACAAGATCATAGGTGGAATTATTTGTCCTACAGCATTTCCACAACCGACAATTGACACATTCTTAGCGTGCTCTTGCGAAATCAAATGAACTCGTTTGACACCTTTACGAGCATATACCTGTGATTTATGAAGGTTTAGGCGGCAACCTTTCTCGTCAATATTAAAAATGCGTTGAGGGCTTTGCAGGATATCAAGCTTCAACATAACTTCGTGTAGCTTTTCAAAATAGTCATTGACTATGAATCTGTTTAATTTGGCGGCTCTAGCTGGATTCATGAATTGAGATTTTCTTTTAACTACTTCGGGATGTCGATTTAAAAAAAGTTTGAGCCATTTTCGACCAGCTAAGTTTTTATCGATAAAAGGTGCAGATATGCCATTTCTTTGGCAATATTCATGGACAGAACGTCTTATCACTGTTGATGTCAGAGGCATTCCAACGTCAGCTAGCCTAAAAATTCTTCCACACAACTCAGATTCTTGTTGGGGGTTTAAACATGAAGGGCGCCCAAGTTTCTTTTCCGCTTTTCCACTAAGCAAATGATTCCTAAGTGTTCGACGGGCAATATTAAATTCTTTGGCGGCTGTTCTTACTGACATCCCATTTTTAACTGCTTGCAAGGCCAAAGCCATTTGTTCTTCAGTCCATAAAGCTCTAGGCATCTTAAGCTTTTTAGTATTCTTTCTGAAACAAAGTTAAAAACTTATAAAACGTGTTATTGTAGTGGTCTTAACAAGGCCCACCCGTAGTCTTAATAAGGCCCACCCGGGCCTTATTAGCAATACTGTAGGTGATCAATGTTTTTAGAAATTACCATTATTTACGTTTTAATAAACATAAGGTAATTCAGGTACTATGAAAGTACAACTAATAAGTAGACGCAAGACAAATGTCATGCAAAATAAAAAAAAATCGCACTCATAATCGTATTAAATTACAAAAGCATACTAACCTCAATATTAGATTGGATGTTTACCCATTGACCACTGTAAACGAATGATCATATAAAAGCGACAGTTCGCGTCGATGCTCAACTTAGTGTAACAATTTGCACCTAGATGGCTCTACTGCATCTGTACATTGCAGCATACTGCTATTATTTGTCCATCCTGAGGAATATGGACGAGTGGGCTTTATTAGGAACCAGGCTTTATTTGGCGAACCTACCTTATCATTTCTTTAATCTTTTTTTTCTTTTTCTCTCCTCTTTATTTTAAATAAAATGATTGTTTTATCTTTAGAAATCTGCCCCTTCCGAGTTTAGGGCTCCACATCTCACGAAGACGACTTTCACTTCAATATCCTACTGATTTTATTTTCTTCTTCTTCATCTTTTACTTTCTTCTTCAGTTTTATTAATAAGCCCTTCATGTGCATTAGTCATCCATCTAAATTTTTACATTTCTACACCATGCATTCGTTATGCTTCTTTAATTTTCACTATCCAAGATTCAGTGCTGTCTAGTTTGTTTGTAAATTGTTGGTTGTCCTCATATAGTACATCGTAGTGCTGTACAAATTAGTTTATACCAACAAATATTACAACTCTCTTCGTCTTTCTTCTTATATTTCCTTCTCATATCGGAGGTCGGCTATCATCACAGCTATCCGTACCTTATTGGCGGCTATACCATTCTCTTAAGTTTCTCAGCCAGGCAGGAAATTCTTCGTTTTCCTATGGATCTTTTACCATTGATTTTACTTTGCATTATGAGCCTCAATATCTCATGTTTCGCACCTCTGGTAATGTGGCCTAAATATTCCAGCTTTCTTGTTTTGATGTGCTTTATGACCTCTCAATCTTTTTGTAGCCTTCTTAACACTTCTGCATTTGTACCTCATTGGGTCCATGGTATTTTCAAAATCCTTCTATAGCACCACATCTCAAATGATTCCAACTTCTTTATATTATCCGCTTTTATTATCCAGCTTTCCATTCCATACAAATACCTGACAATTTTAATTACTTTCCCAGTTTAGAGTATCTATTTTTTTTAATCTTGTTTCTTTGATTTCTCAATTAGGTAGGTTTCGATTTCTCTTTACATAATCTTAATTAGCAAGAATTTATGATTTTTTAAAATTTTTCTAATAAACAACTATTTTGACAGTTTTGACATATTTATTTTGCGTTGTTTTTTTTCACGCCGAGCCAGATGCAAATATTTATGATTAGGAACACCGTAAGTAATTAGGCAACGTTGTCTATTTTTTAACTATGTACTTTAGACGTATGTCAAACATCAGAGAGCGAAAGGTCACCTTGGCTTGGTTTTAAGTGTTTTTGTTAATTTTAAAACAGAAATATAGTAGTATTATTTTTCCATTATTTTACATCACATTTTGCCTCTGATTAAGAATTAGACATTTAATCCTAAAAAGTATAGCCTAATATTATTGTTTAAATATGTCAATCATCATCATCATCATCTTGGTGCTACAGCTCTTAGAGGGCCTCGACCTTCTCAAGCTTTCTACGCCATTCTGTTCTGTCCCTTGCTTGAATTTTCCAGTTGCCGACTCCGATCTTCTCCGCATCTTGTGTTACCCCATCCATCCACCTCAGCTTTGGTCTACCCCGTCGTCTCATTCCCACAGGTTGCGCTGTTAGAATCTTTTTTATCATGTTCGATTCAGGGGCCCGGGCTACATGTCCTGCCCACTGCAGGCGGTTTCGCTTAGTTATAGTGATAATATCTTTACCACCAAACGTATGCTTGTAGATATTCTGCAGTTCGAAGTTATATTTACGCCTCCATATTCCGTTCTCACAGACCGCTTAAAATATCTTGCGTAGCACCTTTCTTTCAAAAATGGATAGAGCGGATTCATCTGTTTTCGTTAGCGTCCATGCCTCTGATCCGTATGTGAGAACGGGACTATCAGTGTTCTATACAGCCTTATACGAGTTTTTTGAGACAGACGTTTGTTAGCTAAGTACTTTGATAGACCATAATAACACCTGATTGCAATTATTATTCTCCTTTTTATTTCCTCAGATGTATTGTTATTGGGGTTAACCGATGTCCCTAGATATATGAACTTATTGACTGCTTCGAAGTTTTGGTCATTGATGATTAAATTTGTGTCAACATTTCCAGCTCTTGTGTTTGTGTTAGTCGCCATGAATTTGGTTTTATTTTGATTTATATGTAACCCCATTTGTTCTGCTGCTGCTACTAGCTCGGTTAGGATTGCCGCAGTTCTCGCCCTAGTTCTTGTTATAATGTCCACGTCGTCTGCATATGCTAGAATTTGGACTGATCTATTAAATATTGTTCCCCTGCTATCTAAATTAGCGTCTCGTACAACTTTTTCTAAGGCGACATTAAAAAGCTGACACGCCAGCGCATCTCCCTGCCTTAACCCCCTATGTATTTGAAATGGGGTTGACGAGTCGTTTTGAATTTTTACTGCTGATAGCATCTTCGCCATTGTCACTTTTATCAAACATATTAGTTTTTTTGGATTAAATATATCAATGATACAGAATAATTATGAGAAGAATATAGTAGTATAATTTTTACATGTTTATAGATAATATTCTATGTGAAAATCTATATTAAACAATGATAAACAATCATTATTTGATCAGATTTATTGGTATAAGAAGAAATGTTATCGCACTTACAGTAAACTAATTTGAAATACTATTGCAAATAATTCTTTGTTGAAGATTCAGTCTTCAACAAAAGCTACTCAGCTAAAAATTATAATGTTTTTATGGTAAAGATTTTATTAATTTTTATTATTTTTTTGTTTTTAGATATGAATTCAATTAAAAAAGATTTAACAGAGACGTTACAAAATTGTGGTTCCGATTGTGCTGCTGCGAACGACCTAGTCAATGGACTAAACATCAAAATAGATGTGCAAAACGTAAGTATTATTTCTCAAGACGATAAATAGAACGGTATTAAATATATTATTAAAAAGTGCTCGATAAACCATATATCGCACTAATAATACAATAGTGTCGTAACTCAAAAAAGATGATTTTTCAGAATCAACGAAAAACTTATTAATCATTTCATATTGCAGGTAAGAAAAAAATTAATGCATAATATGTTTCCCATTAATATTAAAGAAAGTTTCTTTGTATTCTTAGTTAAATAAAAATACTGAGAGTGGAGTTATTTAAAAATTTTGAGTTAACACTTTATTGCTCTAAGCAAAATGTTCGAAATGAAATATTATTTTTAGTTATGACATTATTTATGAAATATTTTGTGTTACTACAATTTGATTTAATATTTTTTTTTGCGGTTTACGTTAGTTTTTGGACTTACAACTTTGGGAAGTGATTCTTGGCATTTGTTAACATTGGATCTAAAGAGATTTTATTACATGTTAACAATCACCGAGAATTAATATTAATAAATAAATCAAAACTGTTTTGAATTACGTTTATATTCTAATCAAACAAATTCAGATACAGATAACAAAATACAGTATTCTTGAACATTTTGCACTTAATCTATATATTTAACAAAATAAACCTTCCAAAAAAGAACACAAAATCTGGTCATATTTAAGTAATTCATAGTTAATTAAAAGGACATATATACTAAAAAAAATATTTAAACTTAGTTTGAATCAATCTAAAATTCAATTATTACTGATTATAATTTTAGTTCTTAATCGGTCAAATCCTTATAGTAAGGTTCACGATAACTCCTGGGTATTATATTTTTGTCAAGCAATTCCTTTAAGTCCCTTTTCTTATTTTGAGTTAAAGATATCTTGCTTGTGTACTCTCGTGTCAAACCATTAGCAAATAACGAAGTCTGGTTTTCAGTTCGTCGTAAACTACGTACGAAACCTTTTTTTATCTTCATCTTCGTAAGAGTTCTTATAAAAGAAAGTAAATGGCTGTTCGTTTTCAACACGAAACACCTTAATGTCATGCCATTTTATTTTGTCTTTCTACTCATTAACATTAAAATTGTTACCCCACTCTTCTTGAAGTAATTTCAGATTGTAAAATTTTTCATTTTAGTCATTTCAGTCACGCTATACGGTTTGCCTGTCTTTTTAGCCATCCGAATTAATGTCATGTAGTGTTGTGTATTCATCAAAGTAATCCACTCAAGAATTAACAGAAAACTAGATGCAGATATCAGTAATACTCAATTCAGATTTCGGAACGGGCTTGGAACAAGAGAAGCACTATTTGCACTTAACGTCATATGCCAAAGATGTCTAGATATAAACCAAGATATATATATATATATATATATATATATATATATATATATGTGCTTCATTGATTACAACAAAGCGTTTGATAAAGTTCGTCACGATCACTTAATGAAACTGCTAGTAGAAAAAAACTTGGATAAAAGGGACATTAGAATTATCTCTAAGATTTACTATAACCAGAAAGCAAATATCCGAATAGAGCAAGAGACAACGGAGGAAATCGAGATCAAGAAAGGCGTAAGACAGGGTTGTATACTATCACCGACCTTATTCAATCTATACTCCGAAGACATTATAAACACAGCACTTTCGGATCAAAATATAGGTATTAAGATAAATGGCATCCGAATAAACAACTTGAGATATGCCGATGACACGGTAATCGCAGAAACTTGGGAAGATCTTCAAATACTAATAAACAAAATAGTAGAATGCAGTGAAGAACACGGATTATCACTTAACATAAGCAAAACAAAAATAATGCTAATATCTAAATCACCACAAAACTTCCCTGACATAACCGTGCATGATCAAAGAATCGAACGTGTAAGAAGATATAATTACCTGGGAACTGTTATCAACGAAAATAATGATTGCTCTGAAGAAATCAGAACCAGAATAGAGAAAGCTAGAGCCACATTTACTAAATTGAAAAAGGTGTTCTGCGGAAGAGATCTAAGTCTAAAACTTAAAATTCGCCTTTTGAGATGTTACGTTATGTCAGTTCTCCTCTACGGGATGGAAACATGGACATTGAAAAAGATCGATACCAAAAAGATAGAAGCATTTGAGTTGTGGATGTATCGTAGAATATTAAGAATACCCTGGACAGAGAAAGTAACAAATGTGGAGGTTTTGCGGAGAGTGCGGAAAGAGAAAGAGCTGATACTTACTGTTAAAAAGCGCAAACTACAATATTTGGGACATGTTATGAGGGAGATAAATACCAGTTGCTGCAATTGATTATACAGGGAAAGATAATGGGAAAGAGATCTATAGGAAGAAGAAGGCATTCATGGTTGAAAAACTTGAGAGAATGGTACAATTGCACCAATTACCAACTGTTTAGATCTGCAGCATCAAAAATACGCATAGCTTTAATGATAGCCAAACTTCGGAACAAAGACGGCACTTGAAGAAGAAGTGTTGTGCGACATACACTGGACCAGATTTTACAAAACGCTTTACTTAGACAAGAATTCAAAAGGTTAGTTTTATCTACCTCTGTATAGAAATATCGAAGCTGTCCCTCGCCCCTCGCAAATCTCTTGCAATAGTCAGGTATTGAAAATTGGAATTTTAAGTCAGTATAATATTATTGTACCCTAGCTTAGCTGGTCGCCCTTGCATATTAGTTAGTTTTGAGTTACGAATTCGACCCAATTCGACGCATTTCTGGTTTAAGAGTTTTTAGGCTCTCGCGTAAACAGTATCAAATTGTATCCCAGCTGAGCTGGTCGCTTCTTGTTTTTAGAGTTTTATCTCGCATTTTAGTTATCGTTACATAGCTTAGAGTTAAAAACTGAACACTGATTATTTATCAAGTTGTATCAGTGCTAATGATTGTAGTGTGTCGCGGACCAGTGTATAGACAGTAATCGTCTATTTTAATAAAGAACTTGCGCTAAAACTTTGGCTAGATATTAACTTAGTTATAGCAACATTTAATAATTAAATTACGTATTGTTTGAACTCGGATTGGAAGTAATTACAAGACTTAGCACGCTTTAAATGGTACCAATATCGCCATCCTAATTTGTTGAACAAGTATCCATTTAATTCCACCAATAACTATATACGGACGTAACTACGTCATCTAATAACAAAAAGAAAGAGAAATCATGCGATTTCTACCTGGCCTAAATCAATCAAATTCAAAACTTTATCACTGTGCTTTTTAAAACTTGCAAAGCAAACAACTTGATAAATTACTTGGCAAGGGAATCTAAGATTGCATTCCACGTACCTACTCCAAACAGAGTAAAGAAATAAAATATAAAGACGGTACTAGATTTTTGTTTCAATACAGAGCGGCGGCAAGCCGCTTATACGTATTTCGACCTCTTTAGGTCCCTTCAGGTAGTTACGTCCGTATATAGTTATTTTATAACTATTGTCTAAACAAGCTAAACAAAAATGTATAAATGAAACAGCTTCTGAACATGTAGGGATAGAGAGAAAGAACAAAAAAGAAGAATGGTATAATCAAGACTGTCATAACATGTTAAAAAAGAAGATAGAAATAAGACAAAGGTGGATCAGAACAAATAGACAAGAATATAAAGAAGAATACAACAAATTAAGGACAGAATGTAAGAAACAAATAAGAAAAATTAAACGAACCTGGTTAAATGATAAGATTAATAAAATAGAAAAAGAAAACTCAAATAGAAACACAAAAGCATTTTATAAGAAAATTAGCGAGCAGAACAAAACCTTCAAAGGAAAGATAAAAGGCATAAAGGATAGAAATGGAAAAGTATCAGAAAATGACAAAGAGTTTAAAGAAATCTGGACTGATTATTTTAAAGAATTATTAACAGTACAAGAGGACGAAGACTTAAATGAAAATGTGGAAGAAGACACCACGATGATAGAAACCGAGCTAGAAAAACCAACGAGAGATGAAGTTGGAGAAATTATAAACAGTAGTCGCAACGGTAAAGCACCAGGTATGGACGGTATAAACATGGGACTAATAAAATATGGTGGAAATGAACTCAGAGAAAAAATATACCAATTAATAAAAGTCATATGGGACGAAGAAAAGATGCCAGAAGAATGGCACAAAGGACAAATTATCACAATTCATAAAAAAGGAGACCAACAAATGTGTAATAATTATAGAGGACTGACATTATTAAACACAGCGTATAAAATCATGTCAACCTTAATACAACGAAGACTGGCCAAAGCGACAACAAATATCATGGGACAGTATCAATGCGGATTTATTAGGGGAAAGTCAACAACAGATGCCATACATACGGTAAAGCAAATTATGGAGAAAGCTTATGGATATAAAATAGAAATTGAACTGCTTTTTATAGACTTCCAACAAGCATTTGATTCAATAAACAGAGCGAAATTACTTACAGATATGAGAGAAACGAGAATACGCAACAAATTAAGACGATTATTAAAAATGACAATGAGCAAAACCGTAGTAACTGTAAAAACACAAGAAGGAGACACAGAAGAATTTGTTACAAATAAAGGTGTACGTCAAGGAGATTCATTATCTGCAACTCTGTTTAATCTTGCCCTGGAATCTTCTTCTTCTTAGTCGTTAACCTGATGCAGGTATCGTGATATCATGAAGCTGTTAGGTAATTTTTCCAATGTTCCTCCACGTTTTTCTATCTTCTGCCAATCTAGCACATTCTGACAATGGAGCGCCAATGGTAGCAACAATATGGTCCGTGTATCGTGTAGGAGATCTACCTCTACTTCTTTTGCCTTCTACTTTTCCCTGTATGGTAAGTTTTTCAAGACCATTTCTTCGAAGCACATGTCCAAAATAGCTTATTATCTGTTCTGTTATTTGTGTTCTTAGTCTTTTCTTTATGTTTAGCTGGACCAGTATGGATTCATTTGTTCTTCGGGCCACCCATGGTATTCTCAACATTCGTCTCCAGCAGTACATCTCAAATACATCTATGTTCTTTTTGTCTTTC